GGTACAGAGAAATTTATCTAAGGTTGCACAGTTCCTGCTGAGATGCAAATCTTGACTGTGTGACTTGGGGATCTGTGAGCATAATTAGTGTGCAATGATGCCTATAGTGCAGTCACACAGCAATATCTTTGCAGCATTACGGTTCTGAGACAACTTAAGCTCAATTACTAATGCATTTTAACTATGTGCTTCAGGGTCACTATTCAGAAGATGTTCTCCAGCCTACTGAGGTGTGTTTGGAGCTAAGTTCTCCTCTACTAGATAATTCCCGAATTCTGGAATATTTAAACCCAGCAATCCCCTCCCTCCTCTTCCTCCTCTTCCCCCCTTCTACCCTGCTTTCTTCCTCTTTACTTTTATTTGAATAGACTTTGTTTTTAGAGCAGTTGTAGGTTCACAGTAACATTTTCATCCTTTTAAATTGCAAAAATAAGAGACATTTTCATTGCGTATGGCCTTAAAATACAGGAAATGAAATATTACATGAAGAATTTGTGGTCACATCAAAGAGATGTTGATAAAGGAATTCTCATAAGGAATATACTGGATGATCTCTCTGGTTAATTCCAATCCATCGGTCAGTTGGTCCAGTTCCCTGAAACATTTAAGATTTCATCATCAGAGCTGTCTGATCTTGCCTGTTTCCTCTATCTAATCACATTACCACTTGCCCTGCAAAGGCACCCTGTGATATCCTTAAGTTCTCCATGGCCTGATTTCCTAACCAAATTTGCCAACGTTATCTGTGTTAGGCCCCAAAGACACAATTGTCATAGGATCAGGAAAGCATCTTGTGTCCTCTTATTTCTCTCTCTCTCTCTCTCTCTCTCTCTCTCTCTGTACTTAGTCAGAGTTACTCAGTGGTATCAATACACCCTCTGTACCATCTGTATCAGACTTGTTTGAGATTTGAGCTGCTTGTTAAAAATGGAGACACTAGACCTAACTCAAGACCAAGTAAGATTGAACTCAGGAATCAGCATTTCCCTGTACTTCAGTGGAACAGAATCGAAGATGCAGACACAACCGCAGACATACTTGGCCACCTTATCTTTGACAAAGGAGCCAAACATGTTCCCTGGAAGAAAGACAGTCTCTTTAGTAAATGGTGCTGGAAAAACTGGCTTTCCTTATGCCAAAGACTAAAACTAGACACATGTCTATCACCATGCACTAAAGTCAAAATGGATCAAAGATATAAATATTAAAATAGAAACACTAAATTTACTTGAAGAGAAAATAGATAGAAATCTCAAAGATATAGGCATAGGTAGAAACTTCATAAACAAAACCCAGACTGTGAGGGAAATATTACAAAGAATCAACAAATGAGATCTCAGTTTATTAAAAAGAATTTGCACAACAAAAGAAATCACCAATAGAGTGAAAAGACAACCCACAGAGGGAGGAAAAAAAATTATAGCCAGGTGTCCCTCAAAGGACTTATATCTAGAATATATAAAGAATTGAAAAAAATCAGACCCTCCAAATTCAAAGACCCAATCCAAAAATGGACATCTGATATGAATATGTACTTCTCAGCTGAAGGAATACAAATGGCAAATAAATACATGAAAAAGTGTTCAACATTATTGGTCATTTGAGAGATACAAATTAAAACAACACTGAGATTCCATCTCACCCCAGAAACAATGGATGTAACCAACAATGGATGTCGTCAAGAAGTCTACTAATAACAAGTGCTGGAGGGGCTGTGGGGAAAAGGTACCCTTCTCCACTGCCGATGGGATTGTAGACTGGCGAAACTCCTGTAAAAATCAATGTGAAGACTCCTTAAAATACTAGGATTTGAGGTCCCATTCAACCCAGCTATTCCCCTTGTGGGTATCTTCCCAGAAGAACTAAAATCATCATACCGCAGCGATATATATGGACACATGTTTATAGCAGCACAATTTGTAATAGCTATATCTTGGAAACAACCCAAATGCCCATCAACAGAGGAATGAATAAAAAAGATTTTTTTTAATATAATGGGGTACTATTCAGCCATAAAGAAGGATAAACTGGAGACTTTTATAGGTAAATGGATGCAACTCAAGACCATACTCATAAAGTGAAATAAATCAGACCCATATGTGTAAACATCATACTGTCTCACTAGTGTGAGAGACTGAATAAGTAAATAAGGTCCAAGATGTACAACAGATATTGTGAATTGGGAAGAAACTGTTCAAAAGAAAAGACAAACTGTGATGGGGGAAAGGGGAAAGAAAAGTTTGTGCTAATATTGTTTGGACAAGATATCATGCCTATATCTTGTACTCTGAACACTATGAAGACAAAAAATATACAATGCATTAATTATTGTAACTCCTACTAACCTGTTTTGAGACTCTGTTTTGTTGGTTATTTTTTTTTCTTTAAAATAAAAAATTTAATAAAACCATTTCTCTGTCCTTAAGTATGTTATATTTTTACTTTCCATTAGGGAACTGTCAAGTAGATTCAAAAGTGAGAGACTGATAGAATGAACTCCACCTACTCAAGACTCAATCTCAGTAAATACCAGCTCATAGTCAGTGTCTCATCTTTAATTTGAAGTAAATTCTAGACATCATATCACTTGTATATTTGTATATGTATCTATAACACATAACCAATTATAAAAATCTGAGCCTAGGTACTATTAACAATAATTTATGATATTTAATTTCCAGTTCAAATTTTTCTTGGTTCATGTTTCACTAGATAGTGGTTTAAATTATCTATCTATCTATCTATCTATCTATTTATTTATTTTTGTCTTTTTGATGAAAAAGACAAAGGTCTCACTATGCAGCTCAGGCTGACCTTGAGCTCACTTTGTAGCCCTGGATGGCAACGATCCTCCTGCCTCAGCCTCTCAAAGTGTTAGATGATTAATCATATGACTGCTCCAAGCTATACTGGCTCTTTCCAGGCTCAGCTCCTGTGCTGGGACTTTGTTTAACTGATCTCTTGAGTGAAACACAATATTTCCTGTGTATTGTATTCCTGTCTCATTTAAAACTCTTACAATAATCCTCAAATAACTTCCTCTGATAGACACTTACAAAGTAATCTTTTTCTCTTGTTCCAGACATAAAAAGGACTTTTGCAATTCTCATACTTCAATGATAGCATGTTGGATGGGGTGGGGAATTCTAAATTGAATATAGTTTTTTTTTCCTCAGAAGCTTGTACACATTTTATTATTTACCGCTTTTTCATGAGAAGTCGGATGCCAGTATGGTCTAATTTCTTTGTGTTCTTCTTATGATTTTTGCCCCTCAAATTTTATAATTTTCTCTAATGTTGGTGCTTGGAAGCTTTACAGTAATGCATCTAAAGTGGTAGTACAGTATTTCATTACAGGTGCTCAGTGAATCCTTATCAATTTATCCTTCAGTTCTACAGAATTTTAATATTTTTCTTTTTATGACTTTTACCTCCATTGTCTCCATCCTAATCTTGACAACTTTAAACCACAGATTTCTTGAATAAATATCCCATGTCCCATATTTTTTGTTTAGGTTTCCTGAGTCTTTAAGGTGGTTTGTTATTGCGTTTTTGGTTCACATTCAGTCAAGCTCCTTGACTTTGTTGAATTTTTGCTTTTGTTTAGGCAGTCGTGGTATTTTATTTCTGAATGAGATGAGGTCTCAAGGGTGTCGGTCTCTGGTGACTTCCACAGTCATACTTTTTTTTTCTTAGCCTCAATTGCATAAATCTCAGTACACAAATTAATTTGTCTCTTGATTCCCTTTGGTTCATGTCAGGGGCCATTTATTCTGATGGCTCAGCTTGGTTAGCTTCTTTTGAGCTACTTATTTGCCCCATTTGTCCATGACTCTGACTGACCATCCATGTGTTCTTCCTGAGCCCTTCATGGTTTAGGAGGGCAACTACTACTCCTTAGTAGAAGAATAGACATTGGATACTTCGTGGCCGTGGGGCTGTGGTTCATGTACAGATGCTCTCATTACGTGCCATTTGCTGGGCCCTCACCCTTACCACTACAGTATGTGCCTTTTGATCTCAGTATGACCCCTGCACAGACGTAAGTGAGGGATTCTTCTGGTCACTAAAGCTCATTTTGTCTAACTGTGTCACAGTTAGGTTGAGATACAGGGTGTTTAGTGCCCTTGGAGAGCTATGCTCAAATCAGTGACTGAAAGGAATTGGTAGATAAGTAGCCCAGGTCCTTCACGCTCTCAGTGGGGTAACTTTGAGGCATACGGACTCTCCCCAAGCAGACTTAACCTCTAGGCCCTCTTTTCTTGATAATGCACCATTTCCTGGCTGTCTTCTCTGTATCACTTCCCCCGCTTTTCCTAGTTGTGTTTTCTTCACTAAATCAACCTTTCACTCTTGCATACTTGTCTCAGGGGTCACTGCTGGGGAATCTCAGACCATGACAGTCTGCTCTGAGTCCTGAGGACTGGACCACTTAGTGGTGGGTATTTGCAAGGCTGAAAATCCACAAAAGATTTGAGCTTTATTTTTCCTAAGCCCTTAAAAGTTAATTAAAAAAAAAAAAAAAAAAAAAAAAAACAGAAAAAACAAAAGCACTTTAACTTTTCTTGTTTTAAGAAGTTGAGACTTAATTCCGTAATTGTATTACATAGCTTTCTGGGATGGCAGAGTAATTTTTAAGGACAGTCGAAAGTACCCTGTTCAGAGAACATGTATGACTTATGTTGCCTGTAGGATGAGGTCTCAGTGGACTTACAGGAAGTGCTGGTCCTTCTGGGAATGCCTTGTTTCTGGCTGTTTATTGGTTCTAAATGTGGCTTACATGTTATAGCGCCTGTGTTTTTGCTCTGGTGCTCTGATTATGTCACATTTCTCACTGTTACTGTCCCAGAATCAGGGGACCCAGCAAAGTCTCCCTGCCTGGCCTCCTGCAGCCAGCTCCTTAGGAATGAATGGGTGAAAGGGTCAGTCTGTCTGCGCCATGCGAAGCGTGGATGTGGGAGGCACAATCACACTGACCTTTGACCTGTGTTTCTTCGCAGATATCTCAGTGAGCCTGCTGACCCTCGTGGTCACTGCCTGTGGTCTTGCCCTCTTTGGCGTGTCTCTCTTCGTATCTTGGAAACTCTGCTGGGTTCCGTGGCGAGAACGAGGCCTGTTCTCTGGTAGCAAAGACAACAACCAGGAGCCTCTTAACTACACGGACACAGAAACCAATGAGCAGGAGAACAGTGAGGACTACGTAGACCCACCCACGCCCTGCCCTGACGCCTCCATGAAGATCAGCCACACCTCCCCGGACATTCCCCTCTCCACCCAGCCAGGGGTCCAGGAGAACTGTGCCCATGGGGTCCGCATGCAGCGCCAAGTCACAGAACCAACCCCTTCGGCCCGGTCAGTAATGTCCCCTTCTTTTCTAAATGCAAGCCTAGGGCCACCCTACTCCCTAGGACCACCCTACACCCTATTCACCCTACTCAGTGAATAGCCAAGGAGCCTGTGACCTTTTAGATGTCCATTCAGTATTAGAGACATGGATATGGGAAAACTGTGCTTCCAGTGCAGAATTCAGGTGCCTGAGCTCTTAGTCTCTTATGAATCCATGAAAGTATTATCTAACATCATTAGGATTTGTGATGTATCAAGTGTGGTATACAAACTTTACGTGCATTATTTTATTATAGTGTACAACTTTGTGTGAAGTGGATGCTCTAATCATTTTCCTTTCACAGCAGAAGAAACTGAAGTCAAGGACATTAAGTCACAAAGTCACTGAGCACCCGAGTGGAGATTTGAACCCTCTTAACTCAACTAACACCAGAGCTTGAGCTCTTAACTACTATTTCTTTTCTAGAACCCTTCTAGTGTGATAGAATTTATTCACTGTGACTCTGACCTAGTGTAGCAATCCTCAGATTCCACAGTGTGGCCAAGGTCTTTGTCCATCTTCAGTCTTTATAAGGCCTACGGAGCACCCAAGCCTGTGGTCATTCTCCTCTCATTGTCTGGAAGCTTTGTGCTCTTAGAGAAATAACAAAGTGTACTGATAGATACTGTGGGTGGGCCCTGGGGTCTAATGAACTGGCTTTACTTACATATGTAACACTGAACAAATTACTTAACCTCCATCCGTCTGTGAAAGAGGAGCAGCAGTAGTAACAACTTTTAGGTGGTTTTAAGAAAGAAATGATAATACATGCTTACATTGGCCTGCACCGACTAAGTACCGCCATTTTACTTTTCATATTACTGTTATCACCGCTGCCACAGACATGGGCTTCTCCTAAGACCCAGATTGTACAAAGGTGACTTTGAGGCTAAACAGTGAGTTCTAAATCACTAAATATAAAAGACAATTTCTACTAAGAGACCTTCGCAAAAGAGATACCGGAAGCAACTTTCTTTAAAGTGAAAATATTTGCATGAGTGATAGCCAGAGGAATCACATGTGCTATTATTTGGAAAGTATGAACACAGTGTGGGAATTTTTTTAAAAAATCTTTTATTCTCTAGAAACATAAATACCATTTTACCCTTTTTTATGTTAATCAAGTTTATCCTAGAGGCTCTGCTCATTCATGTTAAGTGGGATAGAATATGACAGTTTATAGTTGAATTTTTTTTCCAGAAACCTATTTTAGCACCATCTCCAATTTTGAATCAAAGAGCTGAACTTAAAATATTCCTCTGCAAGGAAATGGGTAGTTGTTTGCCATCTGATTTAGAAGAAATCCTCAGATCTTATCACTAGCATTTCTCTTCAGATTTAAAACCTAAATATAACTAGAGCTCTGTTCTATGCTGTCACAGAGTTCATGCGGTGGTACGGACTTACAATAAATTCTTTCAGTACTTCAAGACCTGGAGCCTTTCAGATAGGGTCTCCACTGAAATTGTCTCCTATTCACTTCTACCTTGCATGTAATTTATCTTGTCTGGGTTCCTCTAATACAGGATGATAAAACTGTGTTTTTATTAGACTTGGTCTGAGCGTTCTACCATGTAATTGCAATGAACCAATAGCAATAATATCACTGTAATTATTACAATATTTATTCTACAAAAATATATAAACACTTTATATACCAAGAAATATAATTTGTTTAAAAGAGAAAAACTGTTATCTTTACCGGTGATTTGCAGAAATTGGGTGGAAGAGGGGAAAAGAGGAGAGCAAAGAAATTATCCTTTGTAAAATGCATTTTGCATTCATATTGATGTTAGTTTTGGAGACACGAAATTAAATTGTCTTTTCTGATGGGCCTAATCAGGTTTAGTAATAGCTAAACTTCCATTAAAAAACTGAACTCATTCTAGCTGCATTTGACCCAGTATTAGCAGTTTGCATCGTTATGCATTTAAAGCATTCATATCTAAATTACACCTGACCTAGTTTTAAAGGTTCTGTGTGGAAATACTTATCTTTGTCCAGTGATGTACAGTTCTCTAAGTCCTTAGCAATTGTGTAACATTATGAGGAAAAAAAAACAATTTTTTTTACTGATGGAGTGGAAAAATAAATGAACTACCCTTCATGCTCTAAAATATTTTTGACATTTTTTTTAAGAGAATATTTGGGAAGAGGAAAAGAACTTTTTGCTGAGATGGCTCTGAACAGTGTGCTGTTCTGTGTATGATTTCTTCTGCTTTGTTTCTCGTTATGTTCTTTACTTTCTCACTGCTGTCATTTTCTTTCTTTCTTCTACTCTTCAGTGATTAGCACCTGTCCCAGCGGTCCTGGGCACCTCAGCCTAGTGCAGATAAGAATTATGCTCCCATTAAGAGCATCTCCCCCAGGGGCTGGGGATTTAGCTCAGCGGCAAAAGCTCCTGCCTGGCAAGTGCAAGGTCGTGAGTTCGGTTCCTGGTACCGGAGAAAAAAACAAAAACAAACAAACAAAAAAAAAAAAAAAATAAGAGCATCTCCCCTATTACCACATTTGGCATAGCTTTGTCACAGGATTTACAATAGAAATCTCACCCTCACCTGTCCTCTTCAGACTGGATACATTTGACTCACACTGGCACAGTTTGGAATAGACCAGGGATGAGCTTTATTTTATCTAAGAATGTTTCTGCTCAGGGTAAGTTTCCATTGTTTTTCCAAGACCATGCAAGTTTTTCTAAGACCAAGTCTAGTTAACTCAATTACTATTAAAACCATCCAAAATTCCTGTTAATTCTTCTCAGTTTGGATGAAATCCCTCACGTAGCAGTGACCTAATATTTGAGGAATGTGGCTATCTTAATTTTCTCAAAATTTTTCAATACCAGAGCTTTCTAATAAAGGTGTGTACTCCAAACACACGAAAAGCCCTGTGTCTCCAAAATAGAGGGACCTGGAAAGATCACCTGTTCCATTTCTTGATTCTTGTCCCAAGATGAAACTCCATCCTGTTTTTATTTTTAAGATTTCTCAAATTTCCTCCATAACAGTTTAGTTTTATGAAACCAGAACTAGCCATACCATGAACTCCTTGTCGGGACTATTAAGACATTGCTCACATGAACTCAGGAGGAGACTTTTCCTGAGGAAAGCTCATAGTATTCCAGCTATACTAGCATTTCTCCTGGTTCTTTAAGTGTCTCAAGCCTAGAGAACTTCTGTCCTTTCAGCCAGGAATGCTTTTCCTGTATCTTTGCCCTTCCTGGCTCTTTTGCAGTTTTACCTTTCTAGTTAAATGTCTGCCTGACCTTCCACCTGAAGGACGGAGTGTTTTCCATACCCTTCCAGTCTAAGTCCTCACACTGCCTTGTTTCCACTCCCACAGAGCACTGAACACAATTTCTAAGTGATTGTTTATTACCTATACTCTCCTTTCTACTATGAGTTCTGTGAACCACTTTGTCTCTTCCTCTATGTCCAGCCCCTCCTGCAATTATTTGCCCATAGCAGATTTCTTTTCCATGATTGACTGAAAAAATAATTGGTAGATACTTTTCTTTTGTTCTGCTGATAAGAATGGCACCGGGCCAGAAGTATAAACTGGGTAAAATCTATAGTAGTGTGAGGCTGGTGGAAGACCATTTATCTTAGGCTTCATGTCCATGAGGAGTGTCTCAGTTGTACTTTTAACCTTCCCCCTCAATTAAGCAATCCATACAGCCAGAAAAATACTCTAGCAGGATTTGAAAACAAACAAACAAACAAAAAAATCACACTTTAATTTGGATCCCGTTACTGACCGCAACTCCGGTAATCAGTACGCAAAGACTAAATGTTGTACTTACTCAGTGGGTAATATATTTCTACTAAGCTCTATATTTGTATAGAGAGACAAACATTTTGAAACATTTAGTTATTGCTTAAGATTTTAATAAACGGACCACTTCAAAAATGGAAGTTGTCAAGACCTAGCTTAACTTCCATGAAATCCAACAACTAGATGTAAATGTATATTTCCTCTACAGGGTTTAGTTCTCAGAAACTATTACGTCCACGGTGTTCATATATTTACTCTAGACCGGTGGTGATGAACCTGTGGCATGCATGCCACAGCGGACATGCAGAGCCCTCTCTGCACGTGAGCCATGTTGCCATAGCATTGCCCCAGCAGTGAGTATCTGATAACAATGCCCACGGGGCCGGTGTTGGCGCCTTGCCATAAATGAGTGGGTTTTGGGTTGCAGTGAGGGCACTGGTCTCCCAGAGGATCTCCGTCATGCTCTAGACACGTATGTTAAGCATCTTTGTGCAAAATTCTATATTATGTGCTGGTATTAAAGGAGAACAAAAAATATAGCCCTCCCTTCAGAGACCCTAAAGAAGAGATCGATTAAAAACTTTGAAGTGGGGCTGGGGATTTAGCTCAGCGGCAAAAGCGCCTGCCTGGCAAGCGCAAGGTCGTGAGTTCAGTTCCCGGTACCGGAGAAAAACCAAAAAAAAAAAAAAAAAAAAAAAACTTTGAAGTGTTCAAATTGTTTGCTAAATGGTTAATCTAGAAAGAATGTATAAGATCATGAAATGAGGTGAAGCCTGGATTCAGGGTGTCTTAGTTACTTTTCTCTCATTGCTGAGACGAAATACGTGACACCCAAAGATAATAGGGGAAAGGTTTTCTGTAGCTCCCAGTTTGTAGGGGTTTAGTCCATAATTGGCTGGCTCCAAGGCAGGGTGGCATGGCAGAGGGACAACTGTTCATGGTGATGGAGGACAACAAAATCAAGAGAGGAAGGAGAGAGACAAGACTCTTTAGGTTACTAGCCCTAGGGCAGGTGCTGCACTCACACCCACAACCCCAGTATTGCACCATGAATCAGTCATGAACTCTAGCTTCAGCTGCCTCCCAGAAGTCCAGCCCCTCATGACTACATGAAGCTTTGGAGGGACATCCAGACAGAGACCTTCACACAGGGGGCCAGTGGAAGACTGCAGTGGTGAAGGCTTGAATCCAGTTAGGAACAATAGGAATGGAAAGAGGGTGGGTGAAAACAGCTACTTTAGAGAAAGTGTTGGTGGACAAAGGCTCATGTTGGTTATAGAAGATTAAAGTATTTGAAAGTAACATCAAGGTTTCAAACTTGTTTGCCTTGGGAAAGAGTGAGACGAAACAGGTCACACTTCAGTGAGCCCAATCACACTTGATCACACCTTACTGGCCTCAAAGCCTGATGACTACTGTAAAGCCCCCAGATCCCAAACCAAGCAAACCTCAGCTATGCATTTCCCTTGCCCTTGTAGTGTGCTAACTGTATCTGTCCCTGTGCAGGACTTCCCCTGCTGTGTTTGTACCATTTAGAATATCATAAAGATGAGCTTTGCTTTAGACCCAGAACAGAAAGCTGGCAGTTCAGGAAAACCCAGCTCTCTCCTCTCCACCAGCAGCAGAATATGAAAGAAGAAAAACAGGATCCTACCTCCACTGTTTCCATACTTCTGGGAGCTTCTTGTACACTATACACCCAAAGATCACTTCCCAGTGCCCATCTTATCTGGGGTTGTGGAGCTCAGGTCATAACACACTGTTCTGGATCTTTCTTCCCTCTTGCTTTGGCATTGCTCCCCCTCCCACCCTCTCTATTTGGGTAGTCTATGAGAGCTACGGAATATTGATTTTTCTATTTCCTCCACCTCATCTTCTTTCTGTCTCTGGAACAAGCTCCTTGTTCTACTTTCTTATTTCTTAGCTCCCAGAGATTTGTGGCTATGTAGGGGGAAGTTACAAGGTACCCTGGATCTCTGACTATGTTGAACTTCTCATCTTTCATGCTTCCCACCCGCTAACTTCAGTAAACTCTCACTGCCTTCCGGAAGGAGCCCCAGGCAGTGAGGAACTGTCATCCCCTGTTACAGGCTTTGCTATCTGCTTTAAGCCACTACCTTGCAGTGAGATTCAGCTATTTTTCCAATAGGAATTCTGGACTGAGAGAAAAGTATTAATGAAATTAACACCTAAAGCATTTGGTTGGGCATTAGTGTTCATATTTGTGATTGACTTTTAGAAGAATCTGGTTGTGTTAGAATTTTGAAAGGGGAACTTCCTGTGCAATTGGAATCTCAGGAAATGAGATTGTTTTAGCCTTTGAAGTACAAATCTCCATAACGCTCTCCCTAACCCACCCCCTTCACCCGCTGGCAATCCATCATGGTTAGGAAAAGCTGAACGTGTAGTACTAATCTCAGGTTTCGTGTCTAAGAACATGTACATGTACAACAGAATGTTCTATTGCTAAGAAGCCAAATCCATGTATTTTAAATTTAAATTAAAATGTATTTGGTAGGCTTAGTCCTACAGATAAGGGTGGAGACAAATGTTGCTGTGATGTGATGAATCTAAAGCCAGTGCTCTGAAGACTCCAAGGTAACTTATTATGCACGGAGCCTGCTTGGCAGCCACTCTGGGAAGAAAGGCTACAGCACGGCTGGGCCTGGGGTTGGGTACAGACAAAGGACTGGTGTTGCATCAGATCCCATTCTCAAGAAGAAGCATCCAATGGGTGCACTTTTGTTATAAGGGGCAATCAAAATATACATACGATGTTTAAATTTTTAAAGAATTGTTGAAGGAAGAGACACATTGTCATTAAGTTCTCTCAGAATACTCCCCTCTCATTCCAAACACACTTATCCCACTGCTCCTGCCCCTTTCTGAAACAGTTCTACAAGTCTTCTTTTGTGTCTTTGAGGTGTGATCAAAAATATGGTGAATACTGCTGCTGAGTGCCATCCAATTAAAAGGTAGGATCATAAAAGCATTATGGTGTATCCATATCCACCTTATTCACCAGATCTGTCATTGTGGGACTTTATGACATCTGAATCTTCCCCAAACTCAAAATGATCACGAAACATTAACCTTTTGAATCAATTCAGGACATTGAGGCAATTACAACCACACCATTAATGACGCAAGAGAGAACTTCTAGGAGTGTTTCGTAAAGTGGCAAGAATGATGGAATACGTGTGTTAGAAGTGGAGGGGAATATTTAGAGGGAGATTAATGGCAATGTCTATTTTACTGTAATAAATTTTAAAAATTTAAACATTCCTATTTTTCCAGTCACCCCTCGTGTACATATCACTACTGACTAAACAGCACCCAGAGCAGTCCATACTAGCCTCTGCTAGCTAGTCCCACTAGCTAGTCCCCACTGAGAATGGTAGGAACTGACTTGAGGCCAAAGTGGAGGCCAGATCTGAATCTAGCCTGCGGAAAAATGTCCATAGCAAAGGGAGGCGTGGCTGGTACTGTTCCCTTTGGCCTCTGCATGGGACAGGATATTTACTGCTCTCCGCCAGTTCTTTCTGCCCGCTGAAATCAGCAGCATGATTAAACTGTGCTGTAGCAGCACAGCAGTTCCACTTCTGCATAAGGAACAGCCTGGGTACGGACAGCCAGCTTTGGTGCTTAGCGTCTCCCACCTCCCTGTCACCAGATGCAGATGAAGACTGTGGATTTCTGTAGGAGAAATGAACACCTCATGGCAGCAACTCTCAGACTACACTTTTTGCACACGTGGGAATGTTTGTGACAGGAATCTGTCGGCTTGCTGCGGACTGTGTTGGGTGTGACAGGTACAAGTGACAGCTCTGTGACAGTGCTCTTGTTGTACCACATGGGTGATTAGTGATCAGGAGTATATTTTAAGATGAAAGGGAATGTTCAGCATGACAGCATCTATGATGGCAAGGAATAATTTCAAACATGTTTCGAGGGCTGTTAATCCCATTTTTACATCTTTATTTTAAAACAGTCTTAAGAAAGGAACAGAAGACAAATGGGGATGTTTATTCTGCCTCTCCACCTATTTATCAGTCGCTCAGAGACAGCCTGGTTGTTCCCTTTCACCTTCCACTACAGACGCTATTTTAATTAAGATTATTTGTTGTGTGACTCCATATACCACAATATAAGGATTATGAACTCTGAGCTAAAAATAAGCCAAAGTAACCTTAAAAGAAACCTTATACCTAATGACTACATCTTCCAGCTTGTGAGGACCCACACAGATAAGAGAGGTTTTAAAGAGAACTTTAGAGAAACATCTAACCTAAACAAATAACCTTACCGAGTGAAGTGTAGATTCCACTGGCAAATATTTAACTTGCAAATATCAGTACCAAATCCTTTCTTACTGAATCCTTATATGCATGTATGCTTGCTTACTTTTCATTTTCATGCCATTAGTGTTTATTTCAGAGGTGAAACCTCCCAATCACCCACGTAGTACCACTAAGGCACAATCTCAGTGCTGTCCCTTGCTCGTGACAGAGCCAACACACTGCCCTGAAAGCAGACATCTCCCAGCCACAGATATCTCTGCATGAGCAAAACCTATTCTTATGGTGAAATGATTTGATTTGAACCCGTAAGAATTCACATCCTTATAAAGCTGTAAGACAATGACAGGAAATTCTGTGTAATTTAGAGATGCGCTCTTCTTAAGAGAGCACTTAGCTAAATATTTCAATTTTTAGGATATCTTCTATAAAGTTAAATAATTTTTTTATAAGCAGCTTGAACAAATCTTTATATTCCACCAGCCAGATAAGCTTCTTTAATGGCACATTAGACAGTTTAGAATGTGCATTAAACCTTTAAAACTCCAAGGTCACATGTTGATAAGTTCATTTCCTAATACCAAGCCTCAATCTTGAGCTTCAAGCCTTAGGGAGCAGCTTATTCACACTGATGAGCATTTTGAATTTAGGCCAAAAAGAAAAAAGAAAAAGGCCCAGATCTAAGTTCATAAGAGAATGTAACAGTCTACCTACATTTCAGGCACAAGTTTCTGAGAGATCCATAGCTAATGAGGTTATAACTCTGCTCTTTCTTGCTCTCCATTCAAGGCATAATTCAATCCGAAGACAACTCAACCTGTCAAACCCGGACTTCAATATCCAGCAGCTTCAAAAACAGGAACAGTTGACTGGCATTGGTAGAATTAAACCCGAGTTATATAAACAGAGGTCACTGGATAATGATGATGGGAAAAGGAGTCACAGCAAAGCTTGTGGGAAACTGAACTTCATTTTAAAATACGACTGTGACTTAGAGCAGCTCATAGTGAAGATTCACAAAGCTGTCAATCTGCCTGCCAAGGACTTTTCTGGAACCTCAGATCCTTACGTGAAAATCTACTTGCTTCCCGATCGGAAAACAAAACACCAGACTAAAGTTCACAGAAAGACCCTGAACCCTGTGTTTGATGAAGTGTTTTTATTTCCGGTTCCCTACAGTGATCTGGAAGCTCGGAAGCTTCACTTCTCTGTGTATGACTTTGACAGGTTCTCTCGCCACGACTTAATTGGCCAAGTGGTAGTGGATCACTTCTTAGACTTGGCTGATTTCCCCAGGGAGTGCATCCTTTGGAAGGATATCGAATATGTCACCAATGTGAGTCCATCATTTCTTCATTTGGGGGTGGGCAGTGCTTCTTGGTTGGCATGGAAACACACATTATTTTATTTGGGGAGTAAAGGAATAAATTCATGTCAATATTCTTATAACTATTAATTTAGAACTTCTTTGTACCTTTCCAGAGACAAGTTTTTAACAATATTTATTTTGAAATTTCTAAGAATTACTTATGAAAGCTACATGAAAGAATCACATTCTCTCTTTTCTGTTTTCTGATTCTTAGTGATTCCCTAACAGATAGCAGATACCTGTTTTTCTAATCACGTTTTCTTTTGAGCTTTCTTAGGTTATTTGTGCCAAGTGGGTCCTGACATCCAGTTCACTGTACTCCGCAGCTAAGACATCACTGCTTGACTCTGATAGTGCTAAGCCCTTGCTTGTCTGCTCATATTGGCTCAATGTCACTAGCATGGTCAGGTCTTCGCAGTTAGCCCTGGAAGTGGGAGTGACTGAGAAGAGTTGGCATCATATTTTCAAATGTAAAACTCACAGAGTCAAAGTTACAAAGAAATCAGTCCCAAAATAGCTACAGATAATAGCAAAAATGGATCTACAGAAGGGCAAATCCAATTTAGAGCCGAGAGAGAAGGCAGATGGGCCGCGTAGTGACCTGTATATCCATGACACCCAAGGTCTCTAATGACCGAATATCTCCACTAGTACTCTGTTATTCTCAGCCACTGAGGGAACTCCCTCACACTGTGGCTGTTACGAGGGATACTTTCTCTCCACATGTCACAAAGTACTAGCTTTTTCCTGCTATCCACATAGGCAAAGTGTGACATGAGGTTACATTTGTCATTCCTTTAATGACAGGAAGGAAAAGAGTATCAGATTGGGGTGTTGAAGAAGGAACAGACCTCTTTATCAGGTTGTAATGTATATAAATCAAAAAGGGATGCTGGCCAAAGCAAGGAGTGTTTCTCAAATCCCAACTGTCAAAATAAGGCAGCGGCTAAGGATTTTTAAGGAAACAAAATAGACAGGCTGCCCATGGTAAGACATGACTGGTCCAATCACCTCTCTCACTGGGGCATTTACCGTGTCCCCTTGGGTGTGGAAGCTGAGACACTGCCAGCCGCAGTGATGAGCCTTGGACTTAGGTCTACTCTCAGGACAAGGTATGGGGTGGGAGGTTGGTCATAGCATCTAGGAAAACATCAGTCACTATTTTTTGGCAAACAGATTCCACAAAATAGCTGGAAAATTATTAGAAAGTTCAACAGGGATCCTGCTATCTATTGCCTTCTAGAGATTTGATGGAAAGTGCACAGAACCTCACAGAAATGTTGATAATGCTGATCCCTGGTAGCAACATTTGAGCAGATTTCCATGGGACAGGAATACACAACAGCAGGTGGCTGAGACCTGGCCCTGAGATCACTGCCACTGCTGTGGTCTCCTGGGACTAAGAGTCTTCTGTCCCTTGTTGCAAAATCCTAGATGGCCATAGAATTAAGAAGAATGTGAGATTACTTACCAAGAAGGGAAATGTCTAAGTTTTTTTCTAGGCCTTTTGATAGCCACAGAAGAATGGATGTCTAAGAATGGCATGATAGTTTATTTTTTATTCTGCAGAATCTTGTTTTTAAATTCCATTTAAAAAGTATTATTTGGGGCTGTTTTGAATGCATGCATTTTAATGTAACTGTGTATGAAGATAGCACAAAGATCTAAGATTTGCCATGATTTCATTTTTCAATTTAGATGTATATCATACACTGCATGTAGTACATACAGATTAATGAAGGAGCAATTAAATGAACAGACATGAACCCACCAGCTGAAGAATAGAACATTGCCAGTACTTTAGCTGAACCTGAATTTTCCTCCCTTTTATATTCCCTCTCAGTGCAAGAGGAAACCACTACCCTGAATTTTATTTATATTGTGCTATGTGTTTGTGTGTGTGTGTAAGGAAACACAGATTTAGATTTTGTCTGTTTCTGTTTTCATAGCTCTTATTTAACTTCTTTCTTTCAGTCAACAATGATCATGGCATTTTACAGCAAAGATGAATGGAGCAGCTGTGGTTTGTGTATTTCCTCTGCTATATTATATTCCATTGCATTCTTGTATGGAAATTGCCATTTTTCTGTTGATGACCTTTGGGTAGTTATTTGTATTTTGTGATTCTAAATAATATTTCAGAAGATTTTTGTATATATCACTTGGTTCACAAATACAATAACTTCTCTAGGGTGTATCCATGTTGGGAATAACATATGCATGTGTTGGACTTTTCTTGATAGTGACCGGATCCTTTCCGGAGTGGCTGTACAAATTGATCCCCCCACTGGTAAAGTGTGACAGTTCCTACTACTCCACTTTCTCAGTAACTCCTACATTTGTCACACTGATTAACATGTGTATGTGAGATACATGTGAAATAGTATGTTATTGGTATTTCCTTGGTTGTCAGGGTGGCCGTCTTTTCCTGTTTATTGATCATTCATGTTACCTTTACTGTGAAATATTTAACACTTTTCTCTAATTTATCCTTCATATAGATTCATATATGCCCTTTTTAGTCTGATTGTACGTCTTTTGTGGGTTATATGTACTACAGCTATTACCTTTCAGCCTGTGGCTGTTTTTACATTCATCCTATGGTGTCTTTTGATAAGTAGAGGTTTTGTTCGATGCAACAACACGTAACAATATTTTCTATTGTAAGACATTTGTGTGTTATTTAAGAAATCTTTCCATATGTCATAATGATATTTTTCCTGTATTTTCTATTAGAAGTTTTAAAGTTTTGGCCATCTCAAATGTGATTTATTTAGTCTTCCTCAGAATGGAATTTTGGTATATAATACCACCCTATATAGGCATCTTGTATTAGTCAGTTCGGGCTGCTTTACAAAATACCATAGGCTGAGTGGTTTAAACAAAAGAGGTTTATTACATACCGTTCTGGGGCCTGGAAAGATCAAGGTGCTGGGAGCTTCTGTTCCTAGTGGGACTCTCTTCCTGGCTTGCTTTCTCTCTCTGTCCTCAGGTTGTGGAGAGAGAGTCAGCTCTCTTCTCTCTTCCTATTTTTTTTTTAAATTAGGGTATGTTTCTGATAGATAATAGTTAACATTCATTTTGGAGAATTGGTACATGTATATATCATACTTTGATCATTTTTGATCCCTTTACCAAACCCTCCCTTTTTCCTTTCTTCCTTTAATTCTTTTCCCCATCTCCAAAAATCTGCCTCCTTATTTCCTACCATTTCTCCTTTATTTACTCTTAATTTATTTTGGGGATTCTCTTTATAAGAGAAACCATGCAATATTTAAATTTCTGATTCTGACTTATTTAACATTATGGCCTAAATTCCATATAGACATTAATCTCATCATGTGCCTCACAAAGGTGACCTCATCTAACTCCAGTTACTACCCAAAAGCTTTATTTCCAAATATAGTCACACTGGAGATGAGCACTCTAACATATGCATTCCGAGGTGGAACACAAATATGCCGTCTATAACAAATCTATTTATTTTTCTAAATGGATAAGCAATCTTCTGGCACATTTTCTCAATAACAAGCATTTGCATAGTTTGTCTTATATAGATTTCTGTATATGATGAATTTGTTTCTGGATTCTTTCTTCTAGCCATTGTTCTTTTTGTCTATCTCTACAAATAGCACAACTTGTGAATTATTATTGTTCTACAATATGTTCTAACATCTGGAGGAGCAAATCATCCAGCCTCCTTTTTAGTTCATTCTTGGCTGACACTTGATTTTTCCCATTAATTTTAGAATTGCACTGTCAAGTTAATTCTTCCTGGAATTTGGGTGCATATGAAATCTACAGAGCAGTTTAGAGAAATTTTACATCTTTTGTGATACTGAGTCTTTCTATTCATGACTACACTGTATTTCTCCATTTATTTAGTTCTTTTTAAATCTTTCATTCAAGCCTTATAATATTCTACATGAAGGTCTTGCATGTCTCTTACTAGATTTATTGGTAAGTACCTAATTTTTTGTTTTAAAATTGTTTTAAATTGTTTTAAAATTTTCTAACTATTGCTGGTATCTAGTTGAAATTTTTAAATATCTATCTTTTGTTTGAAAATTTTGCAAAACATTTTATATATATATATATATCATGGCTAACTAGCTACTAGCTCTGGGTAAAAGCTCTACCTTTGAACCACATCACCGCCCCACAAATTCTTATAATTTAATTGTAGGCTCTTCAGACTTCCTTGTAAATAATTAGTCATGTATGAATTATGACAGTTTTGTTTGTTGCTTCTTAATCTGTACCTTTTTTTATATATCTTTTATTCTTTTTGTTGTTATTATTATTTAATGCACAAATTTGAATTTATAGCACAGTACTAAATAATAAACATAGAAGCAGGCATCCTTGAGTGTTCCCTATTTTAAATGTCATATCTATGTTTACAAAAGTATGATTTTGCTAGGGATATTTTGTGGATATCTTAATGATATTAAGAATTACCTATTCCTAGTTGACTAAGACTTTTTCTTTTAATTGAAATCTTCATTTTACCAGATGCCATAATTTAGTCTGTTATTTTGGTCAATTATGTTAGTACTTTAATTTTGAATTACTCTTATATTCCTAAAATAATCCAAACTTGCCTCGATATGTCACCTTCTCAGTACACTGCTGAGTTCAGCTGCTGCTATTTCATTTGCATTTATGTGCATGAGTGGTGCATGTAATTCACTGTCCTACTGTGCTGTTTGATTTGAAATCAAGGCAGTTTTTACTTTATAATATTAGTTTGGGTATTATTATGGATACTTTTGATTTGTTCCCACTCAGTGCCTCTGGAGTCATGGGAGTTTTTACTTTTGTTCACTCTGAAGGAACTCCTTCAGTTTCTGGCTTTTGCTTAGCTTCAGACAATAAAAAAAGAATATTATTTTCCTGGAAATAAAAATTTGGAATTATAAAAGACTCAGTTACCTTGATTTTGGCCTTGTAAAGCTATCATTTTG